TCCAGTACATTGTTCAAACTCACCAGCTGCCCCATGAGAGAAAGATGGGCCAGCTCTTCTTGTAAGATTTACCACCTCTGAAAACCTGCTGGAGGATCAGCTGTGGATCAGTTCCAACTATATGGCAAGGGGTAGAGGGGTGGGATGGGAGTACTTATTTAGAATCAATGAATAATTAGTATTTTGAGTAAAGTTATCTATTTGTCAAATTAATCTTGGAGAAAATTCCTAGTAAGAAAATGTTACTTGTTTTATGTTACTTTAGGTTTTTTTTCTGAGGGAAGTCTATAGAGACAAAGAATATATGAAATAACAAATGACTTAAAACTCAACTTTGAGAAGAGAAAAAAGACAGACTATCAAATACCTATTGCATTTTCTGAATTTCCATCTTTGGTTAGGCATTATTTTAAACAATTCATACAATCTATTTCCACTTACCACTTATTAACAGCTAAGATTTATGAGCTCTTCCCTGCATAATAAATAGATTTTAACTTTAATGCATAAAAATGCCCTGATATTAGTTAAAAGACTATCACATTAACAAACTAGTATTTTAAATTAAATTTTACATATGTTTAAAAGGAACACAAATAATTCATTATCTGAGGTACAGTATACAAGCAGACTTCTTAGAAAACTTGTAAGAGCTGAATTCTTTTCTATAATTATACAGGCTGACAAGTCCCTAAGTAATATCCTAACTATAATTTGTTTTTCTCTGTATCAATTAATCCAATTGCCCTTGACAAGTCTTTACTGTATCTAGAGAATGATGTTAACTTTGAAATTCACTAATAATGCCTGAAAATATTATTAAAATAAGGCTCTATTTTTCCTGTAATTTTTATATAAATATGTAAAATCTACCTCAGAAAATGCCAAGAAAATCCATACAATTAGTTTATGACCATCCACACAATTTGCTTCTTGTTGTGGTTGTTATTATTATATGCTGTCAAGTCGCTTGTGACTCACCGGGGCCCTAGCCCTAAACCCTGCTCTATCTTGTGTCAACCTCACTGTCTCTGAAACACCTACTCCCATTACCCCAATCACTGAGTCGATCCATCTTATCAAGGGTCTTCCTCTTTTGCACTGTCCTTCCACCCTCCCAAACAAGTTCCTCTCCAAGGACTGGTCCTTCCTTGCAACATTCCCGAAGTATGTCAGATGAAGCTTCAGAATCCTTGACTCTAAGGAGCAGCCCGGCTTCACCCTCTCCAGGACGAACACAATTGTTCTCCTAGCAGTCCATGGTACATTCAACACTCTTCTCCAGCACCACAACTAAAGGCATCAATTCTCTTTCTACCATCCCCAGTCACTGTCCAGCTCTCTGATGCATAGCACGTAATTACAAAGACTATGGCCCAGATCAGGTGCACCTTAGTCTCCAGCCTGATGTCACTGCTTCTCAGAACTCTAGAGAGGTTCCTGACACTTTACCTTCCCAATGCAATTCATCTCTTGATTTCCTGGCTGCTGGTACCAAAAGTGTTGATTGTGAGGCCAAGCAAACTAAAACTGCTAATAATATCAATCTCTTCACCATCCATAATGATGTTGCCGAATGGCCCGGTGATGAGAATCTTTGTTTTCTTAATCTTGAGCTTCAGTCCATATAGAAGGCTGCAGTCCTTGACCTCCTGCAGCAAGGGCTTATAAAGTTAAAATTTCACTCTCTGAAAAACTGAGCTAAATTTTTTAGCTATACTTTCATTGGGCATAACTTCCTCTTTTCAGTTATGTCGGAAATTGTAATATCTCTCCACAGAACATGGTATTTTGAACAATAATATTGTTGAAATCAATTCTGCAGCAGTTTTTTTTCTCTTGCTTTAACAGAAGTGAAATTTGAAAACTGAAAAATGAAAAAAAGGCTCCAAGAAAAGAAATGACTATTTTAGCTTTGGTATCTGCTCTGATGTTTTCTCAGTTATGATCGGTAAATGCATAAATGTGTGTATGCTCTTTCGTTCCTCCAGCGCTGGGCTGTTGTTAGTGGTGTTGTTGCTGATGTTAGGGGTCCCTGAGTCGATCGTGGCTCACAGTAACCTTTAGAAGAACAGATCTGAACCTTGTGTTATCCTGCTAGGATTAGCCGCCATCAAAGAAAATATATGAGGAACAAAACTGAGCCACACATGGGAATTAAAATCTGCAACATAAGTTTAATGTAGGTATAGTTTAAAACTCATTATATATGTTCACATCCTTCTGTCTGACAGTCCCATAGAGTTCAGAAACTTATTCCAACTGAAGCCAGTCTTCGAATCATAACTTCTATCTGATGATTACAGTTGATAATTCCATACCTCATTTTAGCTGTAGAAAGCAAGCCACCTCCCCCTCCCCCCAACTCAAACTTATTTAATATGATCTAGGTAGTTTAGGCTCATTACCAACTTTGGGCCCCCTGTTGTAGGTAGACTTTGTCAAACTGACTACAATGCATATCACTGTTGGAACTGACTCACAGCTGACACTCTGACGGGTTCTCAGAGGCCGTTACCTACATGGGAGGAGACTGTTCATCCACCTCCCAGGGAGCAGCTGGTGGATTTGAACCGCCTATATCCAGGACTGTAGCACAGTTTCTTGCCACTAGGTCAGGACCCTGTCTATGAATCACGGACATAAACCCTGCCCAGTCCTGCACCGCCCTCTGAATCTGATTGCTTGAGCACACTGTGACGGTCACTGTGTCAATCACCTTGTTGAAGGCCATCTTCTCTTGTGCCGACCATCTATCTCAGTCTTCTAAAATGTCATAAAGAACTTTATATTTATGCATTAACTAGATCATCTTAGAGGATGGGTGGTGATCTTAATTATTTTTTTGAGCTAATATTTTTAAGGGATAAGAGGTAATGATTTCTGCAGCTTCCTTTTAAATTATATAACCACAAGGTTACACACAAACATGCACAAAGAACACACACAAGAAAAGGGTACAACAGTTTATCTAAAGTGTTCATATACAGGCATACACTATCCTAGTCTTTCGATTCTTTTTAGGTGCTGGAGAATTTTTATAATAAAGAAAATGCTGAATAAAAAGAAACAACAACAAAATCCTAGTTGTTCTTGCATAATACTCTGTAGTGGCTTCATGGTAAGGAACTGCATTTGCCAACACAAAGAGACACAGCTCGAATCCACCAGCTGCTCCTCGGGAGAAGAGGAGCAGCCTCCTCCTGAAGCCATTTACTGCCTCTGAAAACCTGCTGAAACGTCAGCTGTGGGTTGGTTCCTCTTAGTCGGGATGCAATGATTACACAAGTTTCAAAAGGAAAGATCTTATTTTCTTAGGTATAATTTTTAAAGGAATTAAAGGACTGCTTTTAAGGTTTGCAATAAAAACAATGTGGTGGTTGTTATGTGGTGCCACGTCGACTGAGACTCATAGCGACCCTATGCACAGTGGCTCTGCATTCTGCTCTGTCCTGAACCAATCTCACTGGCCCTGACGCACGTACCCTCATTACCCCAGTCGCTGTGTCAATCCATCTCATCTGGGGTCTTTCTCTCCTGCACCGTCTCTAGACCCTTCCAAGCACAGCATCCTTTTCCAAAGACTGGTTCCTCCAGGCTACATGCCCAAAGTATATTAGCATTCTTCAAAAATCGTATTTCATTTATTCACTAGGACTTGGACTTGTTTTTTTTAAGAAGAGACTTTAGCATTTTAAATTTGATCAAGCTCCTCCATTTGACTTTTGTATCTGTAATTCCATTTCTTCTTGACATTGAGCCTCAGTCCATACTGAAGGCTGCAGTCCTTGACCCTTCGCAGCAAGTGCATGAGGTCCTCCTCGGTTTCAGCAAGCAGGGTTGTGTCATCTGCATAACGCAGATTGTTAATAGATCTTCCACCAATCCTGATGCCACAATTCTCCTCATAGAGCCCAGCCTCTCGGATAATCTGCTCTGTGGCGTACACCCTTCCCAATTTTGAACCATGCAGTGTTACCCTGCTCTGTTCTGACTATGGCCTCTTGGTCCAACAGTCAACACTCTTGGCACCAGCAGTCAGGAAATCAAAAAGCCTATCGCGATGGGAAAGTCTGCTGTTAGGGACCTCTCTAAAGTTCTCAGGAGCAACGGTGTCTCTCTGGAGACTAAGGTGCGCCTGATACAGGCCATGGTATTTGCAATCGCTTGTTATGCATCAGAGAGTTGGACAATGACTAAGGAGGACAGAAGGAGAGTGGATGCTTTTGAGCTGTGGTGCTGGGGAAGGGTACTGAATGTACCATGGACTGCCAGGAAAACAAACAGATTTATCTTGGAGAGGATTAAACCAAGCTACTCCCTGGAGGCAAGGATTCTGGGGCTTCGTCTGACATACTTTGGACATGTTGCCAGGAGGGACGGGTTCTTGGAGAGGGACATCATGCTTGGGAGGGTTGAGGGACAACGCAGGAGGGGAAGACCCTCTATGAGATGGATTGATTCGGTGACTGGGGTAATCAGGATGGGCGTGGCGTGTCAGAGGTGGTGCGGTTGGCGCAGGATAGAGCAGGGTTTAGGACTGTTGTGCATAGGGTCGCTATGAGTCGGAAACGACTCGACGGCACATAACAACAACAACAACATCTGTAATTCCAGGCATAATGATGTAGGGGGTGTATAATGTTGCTGTTGTGGACCACTGAGTCAGAACGGGTTTCAGAGGCAGTAGATCACATAGCAGAGTGTTCACCTTTCTCCCACGGAACAGCCGGTGGCTTTGAACCATGTACCTCTGGGTTGGCTGCAGAGTTCCTTACCACTAAACCACCAGGGCTCCCTCTAGAATACCAGACATCACTGCATTTCCATTATATATGGAACTTTAATGGGAAAACAAGAACACAATTATCAGAAGAATTTTAATATTCTGTCTGAAAGAAAAAATAAAAGAGTGGTTTTCTTCCCTCACCATCTAATTCCAGCACTTCAGTCCAGTGTGGGTCTAACATCAACCCAGGAAATAATAAACTTATTGTTACCTCCTAGGCAGCCAATGAATGAAAGCAGGATCAACAGTTTCCATGACATCATCTTAACTTCCAAAAGCAAGAGTAACTCTCTTGAAGATTGTTGTCTCATGAATAATAGTGAGATTCGTCTTCAGGTAAATCCTTTAATCTGTAAAATACATGTAACAAAGAAGTTAGGCTTGAAAAAAGAGTCACTGTCAAAAAATACAAGTTCCTTAAAGAAAACAAAACACATAACACCAAACCCTGTAGCATTTGCAAACACTCAGAATCCTCCAATGAAACAAATCTTTTGAGATACTAAATACAGGATTAGTTTAAAAAATAGACACAACATCGGGGTGGGGGTAAGACTGAGAAAAACTGGATAAATTATGTTTACTGCATTGAAGTCTATGAGGGAGAGAATAGTTTAAAAGTATTATATTTTAGGGAATTATGTTTATCATAAGAGTACGGAATGAGGGTTGCAGAGTGGATTATATTTGGGGTGGCAGTGGGGGGTTTGGGGGTGGGGGGACTGTGTACCCATGAAGGCGTTTTTCTTTTGCTTTTTAAGGAGAGTGAAGGGGGGAAGGTGGGGGAGGCAGGGAGAAAAGTTCAACAATGAATGAATGGAATTCCAAAATCTCTGTAGATGTTCATTGAAATTAAAAATACAAAACAAAACCCAAAAACCCCCAAAACAAACAAACAAAAAAACCAAAAAAAAATAGACACAAAAACCTTCTTTAACTGTCTTGCAGAAGCCTTTGTAGAATGGAACATTTGTAGCATTACTAAAAACATTACATAGTAAATACTAAAACTTTTGCAATGTGGTAACTGCAACAAATTAAACATTAACCTAAACTAGCTGTGCTCTCATTTTCTTGAATGATAACATTTTGACAAAACCAAAAGAGACAAACACATACGTATCTTAAAGTCATGCTTTTTTAGTTTCCAAATCCCTAATTAGAAATACAAAGGATAAATACTGTTAGTAATGTCCACTGTGAGAAGTTTCTTTATAGAGGCACTCACAGAAGCTCTCAGACCTATATGGTGAGTAAAATAGATCAAAAATGGTAAGAGCAGCAGTTGTTTTATCTTAGAGTCTTGCAAAGGAATCAGTTTCCTCTTGGCTTTTTTGCATTTTCATAACTGTGAATATGCTGTAGAGATGACATAATTACCCCAAAGTCCTGTATCACTTTCAGTTGTCACTTGAGACCACTTGAGTCAATCGGAATGATCAATAATTAAGGAGGCTAGGAACACAAGTCTAAAATTAGGGAGTGCCCTAGCAACTGCAACAACCCAGCTGGTTCCACGCAGGGGAACAGGCTACTTCAAAGTTTACGACTTGAGTCTGGGAGATGTCTGCTCTGACTCAGCACTAGTTACTTATGGGGCTGTCCCGGTCATTACGGAGCTGAAAAGGAGACGTCTCATCTTTCTTATGGCGGGGGTTCTCAACCTCACTTGCTGGGTATTAGATGTTAAAAGCGTCCCGAGTCTGCCTAATCTTCCACATGTAAACATGCCAACTTGAATATGATCGACTTAAAGCAGTGCATTTGATCAGCCATTCTTATGGCAATTTTGCTCTTGTCACTGGCAACCCAGCATCCACTCTTGAGGATGGGGGCTGAAAGGGGAGGTGCAGCAACAGTGTTAGGACTTGTACAGGAATCTTACCACACTCACATAGGAGTGAGGGGCCAGCAGGAACAAGTGGGTATAGGCTTTTGCAAGAATGTTCTAAGAGCTGCAAGTTAGGAACTTCAATCCTGATGGGATCTTTGACGTCCTCCCAAACCCCATCACTACAAGTTCCATGCACTGGAGTTTGGGTTACCCCTCAGACAAACACTGCAAAATGACTCCAAGTGCAAGGAATTTACTTGTCAGATGAAGGACACGTGAAGAGAGACGGGGAAAGGAAGTGGCCATTGTAGGCGGAGCTCCAAGGTCACTCATCACTGCGGATGACCGGAGGTCATTCCTAATAGGCAAATCGGTAAGTCCGATCTGTGTACAGGACACGCCTCGCAATTGTTCCAGGCATGAGACCGAAAGCCTGGGAATTTATGCACCAACTCTCATTAGTCACTGTTCAGAGGTTGTACCTACAAAATTTCAATTATCCAGCACAGCTAGCTCTTTCAGGGACAGGGGGGAAAAGTGGCTCCTGAGGCCAAGAAAGTTATCTCACGTCAAGAACTGTCTGACAGTAGCGGGGAGTGGGAACAGCGAAGTGATAAAGGCACAGCTGTGGGAGTGTGAAGCACAGTGTCCACCACATCACGAATACACATCAGGGCCTTCCCACCATGCCACAAATACACATCACGAATACACATCAGGGCCTTCGACCCGGCTGGGATTCTTGCATGTTCGAATGACATGGGTGAGAAGTTTGCATTCTATTTTAATTAACCATTACTTTTTCTCAAGTATTTACAATGGTTTATTTTCCAGTTTGGACCCAAAGACTTTCAGACCTGGGCATTCCCTACATTGTTGTTTTGTTGTTGTTGTTGTTATGTGCCGTCGAGTCGTTTGCTACTCATAGTGACCCTATGTACAATAGCCCTAAACCCTGCTCTATCCTGTGCCAATCGCATTGCCTCTGACACACCCGTCTCGATTACCCCAGTCACTGAATCAATCCACCTCATAGAGGGTCTTCCTCTCTTGCTGCAGAGGGTCAAGGACTGCAGCCTTCAGTATGGACTGAGGCTCAATGTCAAGAAGACAAAGATTTACCTTACATTACTTGGGGTAAATCAGGGGCATACCTTGTTCTCATTCATGTCAATATAACTCAATGTCTCATGTTTTCATTTGAATAATTGCTATCCCCCAAACATTCTAGATTACATATAACATGTAACAGAGAATCATTAACTATCAGTACTTTCTCTTAATCATTCAAGGTGTGAAGGGATTATAGTCTAGAAATTATGAAGGAGAATAAATGCGTGTACTTGTCTACACATATAGACCACATAAAATTATAGTAAGAGCGCGCGTATATCATCAAACATGTAATTATTCACACACACACGCACAGACACAGACATATAGATACATTTAGAAGTTTTATAGTTATGAAGCACAATATAATGATAATTAGTTATAAAAATACAAGGAAAAAAGAAATGTATTAGCATAACACATAGTCTACCAATGATCAATGAAAAGTTTCCTAAAATCTTGGGACTTTGGGTAAAATATGACCCTGGAAAGGTCTGAAAAGTGTAAAACTGAATTAAACTGGTACTTAATCCCTCAAAGAGATTATAATTATCCATTTATAGACAAAAATGTATTCTGGAAAGACTTTTATTATCACAAACTACTTAGTAGTCTTGAGAGAAGAGTAAGGACTTGTAATTTCTATTTAGAAAGATAAAAACTCCAGGACAGATTTCTGTAGTGACATCATCGCCACCACCCCTACCACCACTAACTACAACTATCACCATCATAATAATTTTAAAAGTCATGTAAACACATGAAGATGCAATCTGTGTTACAGAACCAGTAAGATCTGTTGCCCTCTCTTCTGATTGATGTCATTCCCACAATTTCACAGAGATGCTCTGTTCCACTGGGGGTTTCCTTGGCTCAGTCGGTACAGAAGCAAACTGACAGTCCTCTCTTGCAAGGTCAGGGGTGGGTTTGAAAAGTTATGGTCTATGAACTAAGTTCATTAATAAAACAATAAAATGCTGTGGACTGTTGTAAACAGGGTAACAAGTCAATTACTAGACTGATCAATCCCTGAGAGCAGGACCAGAGATCACCAAACACCCTTGGACCCAGCACCCTTCACACAAGGCTTCTTGTTCACTAAGAACAATGAATAAATCAGCTTGGGAGAGGAAGTCTTAGCACTGTATATAAAGTGAGGGAGAAGCATTTCTATTGAAACCAAAGAATAAATCACAGCGTGGGATCCAGCCACCATTGGAAAATTATTTCAGGAAACTCCGTAAGACAGCATGAAGAAGGTGATAGCTTAACAAAAAAGGTATTTTCACAGCCCTGCATTCTTAGGTGATGTGCATATCAATTACATTTACAAAGTTTAGATGTCTTCAAAGTTTTGAAGTAGTTTTGGAAATGCAATCATTCAACACACATTTATTGACCCCTGCCGTGGGGATGGGGGTGATAATTCTGGAGGAAGGTGGGGGCATTCTGGTGGAACAGAAGATGCTGTTCTGGGAAATGTGACTTTTGACCTCACAGAGCAAACCAACTAGGGGGAGGGAGTACCACAGTATTTAAGGAATCCTAAGATGCTACTGAATTGTCTGCTGTGAAAGGATCTTGAGAAAGTAGAAGACTCTATGAAGGCCCGAAACCCCTTCTGTTCAGAACAGCTCACGATGAACGAGTCGACGCATGAACTGGAATGTGTACGTGCCCTGGGCAGGAAAAGGAAAGAGATTTTCTGAGCAGAGACAGAGAAATGGCATAAAAAGCCGTAGCCATCAAGTACATTCCAGCTCGCAGGGGTCATGGGGCAGAGCAGAGTTGGGGATCCTTATGAGTTTTCAGCAGATGCTGCTTGGCGGTCCATTCCTCTAGGGCCCTCCTGACCGCACTCAAACGTCTCACCCTTCAGGCAGCAGTCAACCCCATCAACCACTTGTAGGGACTCCCCAGGGATTTCTTGTGAGTTGGCAGATATGCTGACTAATCATCAGTGTCTGCACTTCCCCCAGGAGCTCTAGTGGCCTAGTGGATAAAGAGCTGCACTGTCAACCTGAAGACCAGTGGCTTGAATCCACCAACTGCTCTGAGAAAAGACAGACAGGCAATCTCCTATGTGATTTACATCCTCTGAAAACCTGCTGGAGGGCCAGCTCCAAGTTGGTTCTGACTCCGTGCACAAAGCAGCAGCTTTTCTCCTATCATCCATCACCCTACCTCTCAGCATGCAAGGAGACCTCCCTGCAGCTTCCAGGATCTACTAGGGGACTGAAATGCCTGGCCCAGCAAGAGACACCCAGATGCAGCCTCCAGCCTCCATCACTTCTGATCGAAAACTTCCTGTGTTCAACTCTCAGCTAAATGTGGTGG